TTGTTGTTGTTGTTGTTGTTGTAGGCGTAGGTAATTAGCTTTGTTTATTTTTAATGGAGGTACTAGGGATTGAATTGAACCTCATGCATGCTAGGCATGCACTCTACCACTGAGCTACACCTTCCCTCCAAGACTTTTCACTATGTTTTACCTGGGTTGTTTGTTTCTTACTTTTAAGTTTTGAGAGATCTTGATACATCCAGGATACGAGTCCTTTGTCATGTATGTGACTGGCAAGGTTTTTTTTTTTGCTCTGAGTCTGTGGCTTGTCTATTACTTCCTTAGTGTTATTTGAAAAATAAAAGTTTTAAATTTTGACAAAGTCGAACTTATCATTTTTGAAAAAGTGAATTATGCTTTTGGTGCCATGTCTAAGGACTCTTTGCTTAGCCCCAGTTCATGAAGATTTTATTTTCCTCTATTATTTTTTTCTATAAATTTTCTAATTTTCCTAAAATAAACTTTCAATAGCTAAAAGAAAATTGAGGCAGTAAAGGGGAATAGAAATATTTTGAATTGATATTTTCCATGTTTAAAAAATTCTCAAGCTATCTAGAATATTATATAAATCATATCTGTGAAATATAAACAAATTCCAAAAGTAAAGTTCATGATAACTTCAGGAGAAAAAATTCCAACAACATACTTTCTTCATTATGCAATTCTTAATTCCCTCCCCCATAACAGAGGCATGAAATGGATTTGCTTAATATAAAATTCTGTTCTATGTTGAGGTAACTGAATATGAAAAGTCTTGTAATCTTGACATTTGTCTCAGTAAAAGAAAGAGAGAAAATTCTTATTAAGGGTTAAACTTTAGATCAGTTTCTAGCAGCCCATGAAATTTATCATTTTATTGAAGACTCATTGACAATCCTAAGGCAACATTTGTAATATCTCAAATTTCCACTGATTGGTTTTTGGAAATAAACACCTTTGAAACAATTCTCTGAAAACCTTTATAAATGAAGCAGTCCCCACATCAATCCCTCACAAACAACAACTGATTTCAAGGTGCCATTATGGACCTACAACTATAAACATTTTTTTCAAGGTGTTTTATAAATGTGTAACTTTCACAAAATACATATGAGATAGCTACATTAACTCTGTGGTGATATTCATAGTCTACTTTCCCAATACTACTACTACCTTTGTTGAGATACAATAACAAATTCTTTCCATTAGAGAAAACTAAAAGAATTTACGAATTGGTTTTCTGTTATAGCTATTAGACTGAACCACCTACATGTTCTGTCCTGAAATAATCTCAGTATTCCGAGATTTCCTGCTAGGAAAATTAAACATTTATTAAAGGAAGAAATAGCAAATCCTTTTAAAATCTGTTTAAAAAAAGAATCCTGAGTTATAAAATACAGTACTTCTGAGCTTCTCACTGACACAAAGTGACTACTTGTATACTTCCTTACTACTGTATAAATGAACCAGTAATTTTATATTTCAATGAATGTAAATATAAAGAATACCCAAAGAAAAGCTACCACTAGACTACTGAGTGGTATTTAAAATTAAACAAAAAGAGCTCAAATATTTTCAGGGAATCAGAGCTGTAGCATGGTGAGAAGTTGCTTTGGGGCAGGAGAAAGAAGAATGAAAACCTTTTCTGGCCATTCATTACGTAGACCCCAAATATTCTTGACAGAATATTTCTTGTGAACTTAATGAACTTGAGCCATCGTCCTCACCGGGGTTGGGAGGCACTGCTCACCTGTGGGCTCTAAAGCAGTCTTTCTGATAACTGTGTGCTTGGCCGCTCTGCTCTCCTCCCTGGGGAGGCATCTTCCTACCTATCTTTCTACCTCTCTACCTATTTACCTATCGAACCAATGAGAGTCCTTCCAAAATTAACGTGAGACAACTTGGCATGGCTGTATTATATACACTGTCAGTCTAGCTTTACTAGTTTAGAAAACTTTAAAGTTTTCCAAAACAATATTTTCTTAACATACAAAAAAGAATCACTTTAAATAATTAAATATTAAGTCACTAATAATTTTCTGGTATATTTGCAAATTTTTTGTTTTAAAAGTTATACTTTATTAATGCACAGATTGCTACATTCAATGATACTGTTCTGGGAGGGCTGGGGAACAGCTCAGTGGTAGAGTGTGTGCTTAGCATGCCTGAGTTCAATCCCCAGTACCTCCATTTTAAAAAAAAGTATTAAAAAAATGATACTATTCTAGCTGTACATCTAGTAATGGTCTAGTAAGGATAAGGTGACTTGATACTCAGCATAGCCCTCTGCTGAAAAAAACATGCCTTGAGTGACAATACAAAGGTGCTGTCAGAGATCAAGGCAGGACTGCACAGATCTGTTGTAATATCAGGTACATTCACTTATAAGACTTATAACTGTAGGGGAGGAAAGAACTTTTCCTTTACCATCTTATGTTCAGTACCTTGGATCTGCAAATCAAACTGAAAAAGATTAACAGGAGAGAAGGAGACAACTTCACAAGTGCAAATTTGTGTCACCTTTTAAGATGAGCAATGTATGCCCTGTTTCTGTCAGAAAGGGAGAGGGTAGAGCGTTCCTCCCATGCCTGCTGTTTCCTAGTTGCCTGTAGCTCTATAGTAATCCTTGTGCTCAAGTGACATGTTTGGGGTAATCGTCTGATCCCTTTCAGAGCTGTCTCATGGGCCTTTTGCTGGCACACTTCCCTTGCTGTGTGTTGGTTTAGAAGGTTGTTTCTGCATCAAGCCCACACTTCCTCATTCGTCCACCATTTAGAATTACAATGAGAGCTTAAGGATTAAATGCTCCTGTATAACATTCAGTTCATCAAGCACCAATTTTACTCACTTCTGGTGTCTGAGCAGCTGCATTCCACATAACTGGTCTCTGAAGGAACACAACCTGCTTTGTAGCCAAATTGCCTTCACTGCAAATTAAAATAGCAGCATTAGTATTAGCGAATTAGCAATTCTCTATATTTCACATTTGGCTAGAATGTTCCACAGGTATCCTTTGTAAAATAATCTTCTCATCCAAAAAAAAATTATGAAATACGATTCTACGTTTAGTTGCAGCTGGGAAAACGAGAAAAAAAGAAATCCCCCCAAACTAAATACAGTCATTACAATAGAACATTTTAATGTTTAAAACTTGCAGTCTCACTGTGCCAACATCCCTATTTTCATCTTTTTGTGTCCCCTCCTACTCTTTATCAACAAATGGATTTCCGCATGTCTACAACCACTGCATATTTGCACTTCTGTGTTCTATGTTTATCCCATTTCTTGTTTGCACACTGTTATCATATTCTTAACAGCTACAAAGAATTAAGCTTAACAGCTGCAAAGAATTAAGATACTAAAATGTACTAAGCCTTTATTATTGGAAAATTAGGTTGTTTCCAGTTTTCTGCTGATTATAAATAATGCTGCTATAGAAATATGTATAGTCTTCCTTATTCTTTATGACTTATTTCCTTGAGATAAATTCTCAGGAGTAGGATTATTAGGCCAAAAAAGGGTACGATTTAAGCTCCTTGGTGTGCACTGCCAGATTTCTTATAAAGAGACCGCTCTGGACGGCTGCACGTGAGAAATTTCATATACATTTTCAGCTGTGGGACTTGAGCCCCCGTTAGTTTCATTTTCAGACGCTTCTTTGTAGTCAGCTACTCAGTATTCTCCTTGTTTAACTATCATCGTGGCAAATTACCCCTTGCCAAAGACTACTTGGGGTTTGGATTTCTCTGAAATGCTTTTCACAGAGTCTCCACGGATTTATGAGGAGGAGTGTCTGTAGCTAATGTTGCTCAGTTACGACTTTTATTATGCAAAAAACCCAAACAAAACCTCACTATTAGCTGCCTTTTCTGCTGAGGTCTTTTTCTGGGAAACAAATGCAACATTGAAACTCTGGCCCTCGTGGTCAACCCCACACCACTTGAAAATCCCAAACTTACTGATACTGTTGAATTTTGAAAAACAGCAAATCCTCCCACAAAGCGGTGGCTGCCTCTTTTTTATTTTATTTTATTTTTAAAAGGCTGCTCCTGGTCTAATCTTATTTTAGTTTGGCTTTATGTTTGATTAGAAGAAAAGACTTGAAATATTGCCTAACTTTGGGAACAACTTGAATCATCAGGAGACATCGATTATGACATAGGTGTTCCAGGAAGGGACTAGCGGGCTACAGAGCAGGCTGGCCTGTTTGGGGAGCATGAAATTTACTGGAAAAGGTAGTAGCTTTGGAACCAGATGGGTCCTGGGTTCAAATCTCAACTCTGCTGTAAACAAAGAATGCTGCCCACCATCCCGTTCTGTAAGAATCAAGTCATTAGTCACTGACCTACAATTCACCCTGAAAGGAATTCAGGCCAAGATAAGGGTGAGGCACTCCATGTTTTGGGAAAACAGGGGAAACAGGTAAAACAGGTCCTTCCATAGTTAGAAATATTTCAGGAGAAATTTCTTCCATGGACCCGGATTCTTGCATATTTAGAAAAGCACTAACAGCATTAACTGAGATATCTGTTCCTCATGACCAACCTTCTATCAAGACGTGTGCCTGACCACTCGTAACCCTTCTCTGAAATCACAGATATACTGACCTCCTGCCTTACCTCTTTGGAGCAGTTCCTCAGAGCTTTCTGAGAGACTGTATCCTGGGCTAGAGTCCTTAGGAAGTCCCCCCAAAAAACAAAACTCACAGCTCTCACGTTGTGTCCCCCACCCCCCGGTCGACACTATCATAATAGCTGACAATACCCCAAATAGCGGATGACTTTAGCAGAGTCTCAAAATTCTCTTTCGTTTCCTCTCAGGGACTTTGTGAGGACAAACAAGCCAGTGTGTGTAAAGAGCCTCCGCCGTGCCTGCTGCCGGAGGAGCACAGCAATGTGATTTCCTTCCACGTCCTCATTCATTCAGCAAAATGTGCAGAGCAGGGAAGTGGGAGGGAACCAGCTCAGAATCAAGAGTATCTTCCAGAGAGGAAAGTCGAGGGGAAGGGTACATGAGAACAGAGAAGAGGCTTCTGGATAGTGCTCGTGGGCTGTGCTCCAGGTAGCGAATCGTAGGAGGGAGCTGGGCCTACAACTATCCAAAGATGACAAGGGAAGATAAGGGTAGAATTATTCTTCCTGAATAGAAAGCAGGAGAATGTCAGGGGAGGGATTGGGGGTGGCCCGGAGCGATGATAGGATGGGGCGAGTCTGAACGCATCAGGATATGATGCTTGGTTCACAGCAGGCTTCTCAACCGTCTCTGATGGGGTCAAACAGTAAGTGTGGAGATAAGTTTCTCAAAGGCTGACTATCTTAGGACAGTCTCTGGATGCCCAGATAAGACTTTGGATGGTTGGCATCTTCCCATCTCTTGGGAGGTCCTTAGAGCCAGACTCAATCTGAAATATGCCTGAGATCTCCATCTCCCTGGTTTTCTAAAGGATGTTCTGATTTAAAATAGGTCCTCCTATTTTCAGAACATCTGTGAGATGTGGAATGCCTTTTGGTTTGGAGAATCTGATCGTGGTAGAACTGTAAGGGGAAGAGGTCCGAAGCCTTACAGAGGGACA